ATAGTTGAATTTAATTTTTAGAAAGGTGGCAACCCTTGTGAAAGACTGAAGATTATTCAAAACTTTCAAACTAAAGGTTGCTTAACAATATTTCGATAGGCAGCCATATTTTAATTCTTCAGATACCTTGCGTATAATTAATTTAAACTTGACTTTTCAAACAGGTGGCAACCCTTTTCAAAATATATTACTACAGCTATTTTAAGCTTCTTGACATCCATTTTTTAATATAATTTTGAATTAAATAACTCCCTTAATTGAAGTTAAATTTAATTTTTTTTAAAGGGTGGCAGCCCTCATCCATGAGTAAATAAAGATTTTATATATCTCCATACGAAGTTCCAGTATTTCCTGAGTAATGCAGTATGAAAAATTCCGTTTGTATGGGAGGTGACCCGCCCCCTTGCCTAATCGAGATTAAATCTATCCTATATTTTAAGTTGGGCTAAATGACAGCAGTGTACAAAGTTTCATGATGATCGGTTGATTAGTTAAAGCGTGAAATCGTAGCAAACAAACATACTCACTTTCGGATTTATAATATTAATAAGGAAGTTAGATTTGATTTTTTAAAGGGTGGCAGCCCTCATCCATGAGTAAATAATGAATTTATATATCTCCATACAAAGTTCCAGTAATATATCCAAAATATTTCCTGAGTAATGCAGTATGAAAAATTCCTTTTGTATGGGAGGTGCCACGCCCCCTTGTCTAATTGAGATTAGAACTATCCTATATTTTAAGTTGGGCTAAATGACAGCACTGTACAAAATTTCGTGATGATCGGTTGAGTAGTTAAAGCGTGAAAGCGTAGCAAACAAACAAACTCACTTTCGGATTTATAATATTAGTAAGGATAAGGATTTATTGGCTTCCCTTCACTTATGCTTGAATCGCTATTTTAAATTACTCTCGCTTTTTTAAATAGGTGGAAGTCATTAGCCGCTGAATCCACAATACCCTTCGTTCCCCTAGTTTCAACAAAAACAATGTTGTCACCATTAAGCTATTTTAATAGGTGTACGGATATCTTAAATCTTTTTTGTTTTTATGGCCTTTTAACCATTATATTCAACAATTTTTATCGAGCTTAAAGCCGTTTCTAATGAAAAAATGTTGTCGAAAAACAATAATGGTACTCATTTAATGTCGCAAACTTATGGCATTTGTTGCAAACTTCGCAACATGGCAATCTCGCAAATCAGCTGTTCATTTTTACATGCAATTTGTTTTGCGATAAAATGGCAACTATGCGAGACTATTTTCAGTGGCATCTATGGCAATTTGTCGCAAATCAATATCAGCTGTGCAGAAGGTAAAAATGAATTTGTTATGTACACGCATTTATAGAAAAAACGATTACGGATTAATGGCACTTTTCGGTGGACAGAACAGCAAACTAGAGATTTAATTACGATTGTCTTTGACAATGTGAAGGCTAATCCGGAACAGTTTGAGGTAAAATTCTTACATTTTTTATTATTACATTGCTGTATATTTTATGAATTTAATTTAGAAACCAACTGCTCAAAAATTTTATGATCGCATTACGGAAAGTGCACCAAATTTACGCAACATCAAATGGGATACTATGCGTACAAAAATGAGGCATCTTAAAACAAGTTTTTTGACCGCACTCAAGTGGAAAGGCCAAACGGGAGCAGGATTGCTTGAGAGTGGAGATGTAAAAAGTGTTGAAGAATACATCAAAAGGACTTGTCCATTTTATGATGACCTGCACGCAATATTTGCACGGCGCGTAAATATCCAGCCGCCAGCTATCTACCAGTCTACAGAGCCAATTGCATTTCAGGTGACGATCTCTATGTATCGACTCATATGTCACAATCTGCACCAGCAAATCCTTATGGAATGGACTGAAGCAATTTTTATTTACACTTATGGTAGGACTTAGTCATCTTTGAATAAATCGTTAATATTAAATACCCTT